TGTGTGTGTGTGTGTGTGTGTGTGTGTGTGTGTGTGTGTGTGTGTGTGTGTGTGTGTGTGTGTGTGTGTGTGTGTGTGTGTGTGTGTGAGCGAGCAGTGGTTACCACCTTGCCTCTGCATTCATCACACTGGCATTCGATCAAACTTTTGTTCACAGTCTATATCAACTTCTCTTTTTCTGTGTTGAACTGAACTGAAGTGCTTTATCATTTAAGCACAGATTGGATGGAGAAGCAGATCCAGTAAGCAGTTTGTTTTACCATGCTGAGATGTTAAAAACTTTTCTTTCTACCAGTATAACTATTTTTATAACTATTTTTAATACTAGTCTAATTACTGGAGTTGTTCCTGACTGCCTAAAAACAGCTACAGTAACTCTGTTATTAAAGAGGCCCGATCTTGATTCTTTGAATTGTAATAATTTTTGGCCTATATCAAACTTGCCATTTCTTTCTAAGATTCTTGAGAAAATTGCAGTCCCATTTGATTTCAAATAATATTTTTGAAAAATTCCAATCGGGTTTTAAGACTCAACACAGCACAGAAACTGCACTTTTAAAAGTTGTAAATGATATTTTACTAGAAACAGATAAAGGGATTGCTGTGGCTTTGGTGCTTTTTGACTTAAGCTCTGCATTTGATATGGTTGACCACAATATCTTGATTTCCAGGTTGGAGAGCTGTGTTGGGTGTTGAGCAAGGTGTTGAAATGGTTTCAGTCTTTTTTAACAAACAGAAGTTTTAGTGTTTCCATTGGCCAACATAGTTCGTCCTCAAGCCTACTTGCTTGTGGAGTGCCACAGGGCTCAATTCTTGCCCCAGTTTTATTTTCTATATTTATGCTACCAATGGGTGCTGTCTTTGAGAAATATGGAGTGTCCTTCCACCTATATGCGGATGATACTCAGCTGTATTTTCCCTTGCAGCATAAAAGTAAAGCATTCTTAGGACCTCTGCTGGATTGTCTAAACGAATTACAAATATGGATAAAGCAGAATCTTTTAGTGTTAAACAAGAACAAAACAATAATTTTGTTTGGTTTAAAGTCATATGACGACTGTGCCCTTCATATTGGTCATCTCTCTTCCTACTTTACACCCTGTGCTAAAAATCTTGGTGTTCTTTTTGATTGCAACCTAGGTTTTGAGAAACAAATTAGTGCAGTGGTCAAATCAAGTTTCTTCACTTACGGCGTTTCTCAAAAATCAAATCTTTACTATTTTTTTGAACAGTTTGAACAGATTATTCACTTGCTTGTTCTATCTCGTTTAGATTACTGTAATTCACTATACTGTGGTATAGCTAAGTCAGTCCTCTATAATGCGTTTACAGATGGTCCAAAATGCTGCTGCAAGTTTGCTGACAGGCAGGCAGAGGTTCGATTAGAGCTCGCCCATTCTTAATCCACTAAACTGGTTACCAATCAAATTTAGAATTATTTTAAACATTTTTACTTTTATTTTTAAATATCTGCATAATCAAGCCCCATCATATCTCTCTGAGGCAATCTCTACTTATAAACCAAATAGGTCCCTAAGATCCAGTAATCTTGGTCTCCTCTCTGTTCCTAGATCGAGGTTCCATTGCAGAGGTGATCGAGCCTTCGCTGTTGCTGGTTCTAGTCTATGGAACCAGTTACCAGCTTCTATTAGAGCTGCGCCCTCTTTGCCAGTATTTAAATACCTGCTTAAAAAACATATTTTGTCAATAGCTTTTATCTAGCCATATCAATTGTATTGTTATATTGTGTTTTGATGTTTTGTGGTTTCTTATTTGTTTTATTTTAGCTGTATTGTACAGCACTTTGGATCAACCGGTAGTTGTGTGAAAGTGCTTTGAAAGTATTGTTGTATATTAACAGGATGCAATAATAACATGGAGTGTAAATGATTTTATTTATTAAAATTATTAAGTAGCCTAGATGCTGCCTTATCGGGACAACAAAGCACTCCCTATAGCCTGCCTACCCCTAATAAAACCACAGACTCCGCGGTGACTAAAGCTAGTTTAAAGGCAGAGGAAACAGCGCTGCCATTCTCAACACCAATGACGCGATAACAATCCAGTTAGAATACTTTTCCACCAGTCCACAAATTAATATTTACAATGGATTTACTGTAGTAACACTAAACCTAGCCAATTAATACATTATTATTAAACATTTGTTAGGCAGGTGATTTCCACTTTTCCGATGTGATATGTGATAAGAAAAGGAAGAAACGTGAGTTCGGCAAAAGACGGACACATTCCTTGTCAACCACATCATATGCAACTCCCAAACGCATTTCTCTCCCACCTACGTCACTGCAGGCCGTTTGACTTCGTCCAACGAGATGAAATGAACCTGACACGAGTGTGTTCATTCTCTGCATTTTAATTCAACTTTTTTTCTCGAAATTTAACTTTTTTCTCGTAATTTAATGAGTTTATTCTCTCAAAATTTTACGATTTTTTTCTCGTAATTGAACGAGTTTATTCTAAACATTTTATTTCGACTTTTTTCTCGAAATTTAACGACTTCAATCTCGAGATCGGGGGTTTTTTTCGAGATTTTTTTATTATTGCTTTGCCCTAATCCTGTTCCGTACTTATCAATATTGGAAATTGAAATAGTCTGACTAAAAACAGAGTGGTGCTACCAGAGCGATTTTAAAGGAATAGTTTATCCAAAAATGAAAATGTATCAAGAGAAGACTTCACCAGAGCAAATACAGAGGGTATTTTCACCACAAGGTGCAAACAAGGCCAGATTAGACTTGCCAAAAGACATCTAAAAAAGCCAGACCACTTCTGGAAATGCATTCTTTGGACGGCTGAAATTAAGATCAACCTGTACCAGAATGACGGGAAGAAAGAAGTATGGAGAAGCCTTGGAACAACTCATGGTCCAAAGCATACAACATCATCTGTGAAACATGGTGGAGCAGTGTGATGCATGAGCATGCATGGCTTCCAGTAGCACTGGTGTTCAGTGATGATGTGACAGAAGCAGCCAGATGAATTCTGAAGTGTATAGGGATATACTGTCTGCCCAGATTCAGCCAAATGCAGCAAATTTGATTGGATGGAGCTTTATAGTACAAATGGCCAATGACCCAAAACATACAGCAAAAACAATCCAGGAGTTTAAGGTAAAAAAGTGGAATATTCTGCAATGGTCAAGTCAATCTCCTGATCTCAACCCGATTGAGCATGCATTTCACTTACTGAAGACAAAACTAAAGGCAGAAAGACCCACAAACAAACAACAACTGAAGTCAGCTGCAGTAAAGGCCTGGCAAAGCATCACAAAAGAGGACACCTCACTCTCTGGTGATGTCCATGAGTTCCAGACTTAAGGAAGTCATTGCCTGGAAAAGGATTCTCAACAAAATATAAAAAAATGAACATTTTATTTATGATTATATGTATTTGTCCAATTACATTTGAGCCCCTGAAAATGGGGGGACTGTGTATAAAAATGGTTGTAATTCCTAAGCATTATATGTTATACTGTATTTTTGTTCAACCCCTTGAATTAAAGCTGAAAGTCTGCACTTCAATTTCATCTTGATCCTTTCATTTTAATTCTATTCTGGTGGCATGCAGAGCCAAAATGGTGTCAGCGTCCAAATATATATGGACCTAACTGTATTCATTGCAGATGCTTTCTTTCTTTTTTTTTACGGAGAGCAGCTTTTTTTCTTCGTCTAATGATGAAAACTGACTGACTAATGAGCTTTCAGTCATGTTTTCTGAGCGGCTGCTGCAACACAATCCAGCATACTAGTGAAAGCAAGCAGCAAAAAAGTGCTATTGGATGTGAAGCTGTTGTAATATTTGCACAGCCCTGAAAAATGACACAGGCTGCTTAAAATAAAACTGTTTATGAGCCCTTGGTGCTACAGACATAACCTCAGTCTCATTTGAAAGTTCGTTATACAGTGCCCTCCAAATGTTTAGAAATACCATAAGCTTTAACACTGTTACAAAAGATATCGATTTCAAATAAATGCTATTTGAAATTTATATTTATCAAAGAATTCCATGTCATTTTTTAAGCAGGAAATCAGCATATTAGAATGATTTGTCAAGGATAATGTGACACTGAACAGTAATGATGCTGAAAATTCAGCTTTGCATCACAGGAATAAAGTACATTTTATATAATATTGA